ATGTCCCCAAAATATAGTATCCGGTTCTATACAAAGTACTCAACTACTAATCAACTTCAAAAATAAAGGTTTTTAATAAGACTCTGGATACATGTACGTATCATTTTGGGCACGTTGAGCGATTTGTTGAACTCCTTCAGGCTTTTTATATCTGTTATTACGGGTGTTTATGCATAATTTAAGGATTTATGTAGATCTAATTCTAAATTTGTACCGTCGTACAACAATAATGGCTGCGGTAGCTCAATTTTTATGACCGAAATTATAAATGTACCAATAATTCCAATCCGGTCTCATGGCCAATTTTTTTTTTTCCTTGCCATACCAGAGTTTAGTTTGCAGTACGATAGTATATTAATAAATAAAATTAATATTAAAGAAAGTTTTTTGCAAGAAAGATTATTTTGAGCGTTCTTCCATACATTTTGAAAGTTATAGTGGTCTCTTATTTACCTCTAGCAACACTTTGTAGAGTTCGATATAGAGAGGATAAAAAAAAAACTTCTTGACAAGACAGGGGTTGTGTAACAAGGGAGACTATTTTTACCGGTGAGTTGTTTTTAAAAAATAAAAATACAAAACTGGAGACTTCAAGTTGCTATTAAGGAGTTCAAACGTTAAGGGGCTTGGTTTGCTAAGAAAGCTGTCTAAAGTGTTGTTTGTGTCTAGCGAAAATACGAGTCGCCAAAAAAGCATATAGAAAGTAGTCGGTATGTATTCGTAGATTTATGTAGCAAAGAAAAAAGTTTATAAACATATAGAAGAAAAAAGGTCTTTGTTTTTTGTTTTTATTATACATGTTATAAAACTTTTGAACTTGTTTCTTTAAAAAAAAACAAAAAACAAAAAAAAATTAAAAAAATAAAAAAAAAAAACAAAACAAAAAAACAGAAAAAAAAAGAACACAGAAGAAAAAAATAAACAAAATAAAAGGATAACTTAGTACGTAACGACATTAATAATGCCCAATGGAAAAGTTTATTATGAAGCTGAAAGGATTTTAGATGAGAAATTGATGGGGGATGAACTGTATTATTCTATTAAATGGAAAGGAATTGATGAAAGTGGAAAGCCTTGGACCCCAACATGGGTAGGTTACTATACACCTTTAATTTATTAAATTTTACACTTGCATTTATATTTATTATTAATATCATAATTTTAGGAACCGGCAAGCTATTGCACCCAGCCACTTATTGAATCTTGGGAACAACAAAAACGAGCAGCTAAAAGAAAGATGAGATCACCAACTTTACCACTGCCCGGGAAAATATTATCACCAAAAAAAGAAGCAAGGAAGGTGTCAAAAATAATTGGGGGTTCTAGCAATGAAAATGACAACGACCTTTCTCAAGTCGATTGTGGGAGTAGGTCTGAAACCTCCATGATGATTGATTCATCAAGCAATGAAAATAAAATGACACCACCTTCTTCAATACATTCTAAAATAAAACCAATGACAAATGGTTCAGACGGTGACAATCCATTGGCATGTCAGATACCAACGATGCATCGTTTATCTCATAGCCAACTGGATGTCATGGTTCCTGTACCATTATCATTGATGCAACAAAAAGCATATCGTAAAATTATATCTGCACCTCATTTAACTCGATCCTTTGCTCAAGCCTCGGTGCCTTTACCTCAGAATTCACCCATTTTATTAGCTAAAGAGCAATTACTCATGGTTGTTAATCATCTATCATTACTTTTATCTTCAAATGAATCCAATAATTGGATAAAAGATGTCGATCATACCGGAAAACTTGTAATGATACGGCAATTGTTAAAAATTTTAAGGCATAAGAATCTTGCTATCGGAATTTCAATTCCTTCGGGATTAATGACGGTAAATTATTATATTAATTTACTGTTAAATTTATAAAACTTCATGTAAATATATTTATAATATATTTTATAGGATATTTTTATAGACTTTTTGGAGTCAAATGGTCATCGATACAGATTTATTAACGATCCTTCAATTAAGCATGAACAACAAGCTGCAGAATTGTTTCATAATGGCTTAATGTGTTTTATTTTTTCAACAGTCTTACAGAACAAAGACATTGAGTTAGTAAGTATACATTATCATAATATTAAATATGATTATATAATCTCATTGCAACAGTAGGTTGATGAATGATAAGCAATGTTAAAAAAAAAAAGAAAAAAAAACAAACATATTTGAAGTTCTCAACCGGATTTTTTGGTTTTTATTTGATCGTTTCATATTATAGATACATATACACATATACAAATATTTATATGAATGTTGGAAATACAGTTTTCTATTATTAATTAATTTACTATATTATTTCCATTAAAGCCGCCCCTTGATCTTATGATTGCATATGACACAACTTTCGTTCCAGAATCAAAATTCGCTCAATCTGTGTTCAATATGAACATTCCGGTCATCAGACTTGTTACCAAGAATACTATAGAACATGCTATGAGTTACCAAATGCTAATAGAGAAAAAGAATCTTTCAAATTTGACGCTTTCAGAATTAAAAAAGGCTATAACTTATGGTGCATGGAAAAGACATCAGTTTATTATACCTGGTTGTGAAGTGGCGCAATTTGATATCAAAGGTGTATGCGAAAAGATTGAAAATTGGTTGGATGAAGGAAAGCTAAGGATGTTAAATTTCGGAATGGATGCGGCCATTGAGAAAAATTGGGACAGGAGCGCATGTATTGGAGGATCATCTGTGCAACCGGGAAGTTCAGGAAAAAGAATTTGTATTGATGTAGGAACTAGTAAGAGAAAAAAGGTATACTGTATTGACTATATTATATAATTGTTGTTAACAGTATATTTACGCGTTATCATTTTAACCACTTTAATTCAGGGTAAAGAAGTGATTTCTACCGGGGATGATATTTTAAAACCTTTAAAACCTAAAAAAATAAAAATTTCAACTGATTCCAATGAAGCTGAAGAAGATCCAATAATTAAAGTTGAAGCTCCAGAAATTGAAATTAATCAATTGGGAAATGAACCGCCAACATTTATTTCACCTAATCATATAAATTCACCAGTGCCCGAATCCTCTAGGCGTGTAAATACACCAACGCTCGGATCAACCAAATTCTTAAATGTACTATCACGTAAATCCCCTAATCGTTCGAATACAGTGTTTCGGTCTCCTAGACGTTTGTTTACATCACCGCGAGAACCACCTAAGCGATTGAGTGATAAAGCTACGGGGAAATTAGTATCTGATCCTGTAGAGAGATCAAATACTCCGATAAAAGAGCAAAAAGAACAAGTATTTTATCTTATATAATCAACCTTTAAAAATTTTGAAATTATTAAAAAATTCATAATAATACATAAACTTTTGCTTTTGATTAGAATGAAACATCAGAAGATTGGAAACAAAAATTCATTGATCTGTGTAGTAAATCTACACAACGTGAAGAAATCATAAACAACCTTCAGGAAGAAAATAACAGGTCTCGGGACTTAATCAATGAACTTAGTGCAGAACTTGCTAGCACTAGAAGGCAATTGGGCGAGCTACAAGGACAACGGCGAAAACAGCAAGAGCAACAAAACAGTGAAGTATTACGCGAACTAGCAAGCGTCCGGAAGGAATTGGCAGATTTAAAGGTCGAATTTTCTAAAACAGAAATGGAACTGGAGGAAAAAATTCAAGAAAATCAAAATATGAAGAAAGAGATGGAAGCAAATAAAAATACCTTAAAAACATTAAAAAATAAAATACATTCATTACAAGACGAGAATACAGCATACAAACTTCAGGGTCGAACTACATTGGCTGGTAAAACCATTAAACGAACAGAATCGATGGATGAACAGATAAGAGCGTTAACTGAAGAAAATGAGAACTTAAAAAAGAAATTTGACCTTCAGGAACATCTTCATGAACAACATATAAGGATTGCCAATGAGAACATTGAACAATCAGAAGCTATAAATAATCTTTTGATGAATCTTCAAGGCAAAACTGAAGTTGATGTGAAGGTGATGTTGGATGAACAAAAACAAACCCAACATTCTGCTAAAGGTCATGATAGCACCAGCAATATTAGTAACGATACAGTGAACCAGACAACGAAAAGTAGTAACGGAAGTACTTCCAAGTTGTCAGCACCTCCTATTAATATATTTTCACCTACACCCACTGCTAATGCATTTAAAATATTTTGAAAATGTCTGTTCACTTGCCCAAATAATAAATTATTAACCTTCTGACTGGGTACAAACAATACACAAATAAATAGTATTTCATAATGGTATTTGGGCTTATAATGGTTCCACTTCCCGGTATGTGCCAGTAATATCGTGTTTTACACTTACATAGGGAAAAAGGATGTGTTATTGATGAAGGTGGGTAATGTGGTGAATTGAATAACTTGTGGTCCATCGATCAGAATCGATGAGATTTTATACGATTCAACACTGAAAAATAAAAATTACTTAATTCTGATTACCGGATTGCCATGATACCTTTTAATCTTTATAATACAGAACGATAAAAATATATATATTGACTGCTGGTTCAGTCTAACTCTTATAAAATCACTACACTCCTCAAACACTATTTTATCTAATTGTCTAATTCTGAAAAAGTATAATTTTATCTGCTATTACTAAGCAAATTGGGTTAGCCAATATTAAATAATGCTGATCACAACCAATAAAGGATTTTAACCATGCTTGTATGCTTGTGTAACATATATACGAATTGTACATATCAGATATATCTTTATCGTTATCTCTACTTGAAAAATATCGTGGCAAATGGGAGAATATAGTGTGAGCGATATATCACAAGAACTCGCTAAGCATTTGGATTTTTCCGAAACTAGTATAGAAACTGTACGTAAATATATCGCTTTAATCTTCATGCAATAAATATAAAACTTAAAAGTATATATGTATAGGTAAAAGAGGTTCAAAACAGTGTCGAAAATGTAACGTACAAAATGGAAGGAATCCGACAATCTTTGGAACATGTATTTACTCTTCTATTTGATTGTTCTATCATATTTATTCCTTTGTTTGTGACATCATTGAGTAAAAAATAAAAATAAAAATAAAATAAAGGTTAAAACAGATATACCCACCCGCTCGGAATCAGTATCGAAAGAACTTTATGAGGCTGCTCATCATTTGGATACTTTATATGACAAGATAGATGCTTTAGAAGTATGAATTTTAAGTTCAAGCTTTACGATTTTAGTATTCTTTATTTTAATCTTTCCCATACTGCTATCAAAACAGCGCTTCATCAATATAGTAAAACAAACAGTTAATGATGTAACAAACCGTGTAGAAGAAGCCGAAGCATTCATTACTAATCCTATTAATCTTGTCTTAGACACTTTAAAGATAGTTTGTATTTATTTTATTTTATGATCATTTTGTTGAATACCAAATTAACTGATTTTTGTTTCTTTTTTTGAGTAGAATACGTCCAAGTCAATAGAACCATCTGATTTGAAACTCCCTCCAATGCGATCATTGAATATTTATCGTACATCAGATTATTTCCCTCCGGAAGCCGAAACTTCTGAACAATTATAATTTGATTATTTATGGTAGCAACATGAATCCATAATAGATATTGTATTCATATAGTACATAGTTTAGTTGTTGACATTTACATGAACAGCATTTTAAATATATGATTTCGACAAGCGTTAAGATAATAAATACTAAAATATTTTTACTATATACAGTATCTCTACTGATATTTACTGGTTGCTAACCTTACAATGAACTTGATTGTTCTACTCAGAAATCATTCACCAAGACTGATCACCAAAACAACACATCTAAAGTGTTATTCTAACTATCTACATATCAAATAACGAAATCCTTAAGCCCTTAAGGGATGTTCTATAGAATAGGTGGGCAAACTCTGCAAACTCCGCAACTCCGATATTAAAAATTAATGATTACTAATCATTAGCGAAGCTTATTTCTTATATTGCCCACCTATTCTATAGAATATCCGGCAAATTTCACCCTCAACTCCTTAATTTTATACAGTACACCCTCTCAAATCTGACATGCATGGTTGGCAGCTTCCGTATCGGTGGAGAGATTTATCAGATTTAAGATACCAATGGCTCACTGGTTACATGATAATTGGCTAAATTATGTTTTATTATATATCTGCTCAGTCACATAGAGCCCGATCCGAGTCAACCAAATTGATTTATATTACCTGACAAACCCGATATCTTATAGATATCTATCTTTGGGTATCGGTTATCAGAAATGGCAAGTTATCGGGTTTGAATTATGAAACAATATGGTGGATCAATTTTTTATCAATTATAGGTTTGACAGGATCGGTTTTGGGAGGGTATACAGTAGTAATTTCTCAATTCTTTCAGAATAGTATAAAGTGAATTCATCTATTCACGACATTAAAACTATCCGAACTATAATTATCATCTGAATTATTTTACCTTTGCATAGTTTGTCGTGGGCCATTAACGTTCTCTGTTATATTTGTAACAGTATGGCCAATTGTTCTTTGAAATGAAGGATAAGTATTAATATTTCGAACCACATACAGCACAAGTTTTTTTTAAATCTTTTGTACAGAAATGCCAAATTTAATACTAATAGTCAATCGTAAAGTGTGATCAATTATGATTGATTAATTTTTATTTACAATAAGACCTTTCTACAGTATAACCTTTTGTGAGCATATCTATTTTAAACAAATTAACTATGGTATATATTGAAAAAAACCTTTATATTTTTTAAAAAAGTATTATAATTCGGATGTTGAAATTATAAAGGTTTAATATATTTATATATATGTCAATTATCAAAATTTATAAATTATTGAGTTTATAATATGGAAAATTCTATTTTCACCCGGAATAATACTAATAATTTAGTTACGTATATGATATAGTTTATCGGGTGATTTTAACCCGGGTAAAAATAGAATTTCCCTTATAATATTTAAAATAAAAATAAGCATGGTTCTTTAATAGAACGTTTTTAAATTACAGTAGATAGTTGAAATATTATATACGTATAAATTTTTATGCAGGGGCTGAATTACATGCTTCTTTTATACCAAATTTCATAGTAGTATATGTATTTTTTTTTTTTTTTTTTTTAATCTTCAAAGGTGAGGCCAGTAGTACATGTATTTCTGTATACTGATTTTTTATAAACCATACAAAATTTATGTATCTTTGATATATGCATCTATATAAATTATATTGATTTTCTTAACTTTCTATCACATTGTCATATTAGCCAGCAATTATCTGGTTACAATTTTTTTGCAATCACTGCTTTAGCTAATTTGTAAAAATATGCAATTTGATTAGTCAATACACTATTATACAGTTCTGCAGTTAGGGAATTTACCAAATTAGAAAAATCGTATTCTAGATTAATCTACAAGTAGATTTTTGAATTTGTTTTTATGCATCTTTTGCCTGTATATTCAAAAAAAAATTAATTATTGTTAGAGCTTTAAGTATACAGTTTAAATATCTAGTATTAATTATCTCAAAAAATTCTTTACAATAAACTCTCTTGATTAAAATAAATAAGATATTAAAAATTTCCTTCACATAAAACATTTAGAATTATTGTTAGTTATTTAAGATTATTTTAAATTTTTGTATAAGTTTTAAACTTATTTATATATATATAGATCCTTTATATTTTAAACATGATTATATAGATATTAAAAAAGTTTGTAAAAAAATATACAAGATACTGTATTCAAAGTAGATTAGTTATAAATTAATATATAAATAATGTCAAAGATGATGCTGAAATATTGACTTATTTTAATATGAAATTTTAAATTTTTGGGAGAATGTTTTTTTAGCTTTTTTTTTGTAGTTAAGTTAGGGTTTAGGGCTAGTGTTTATAATAAAAAGGTATAGGTAGATTTTAGTAGGGTTTATATTCTAAATTGAGACCCCCACGTTTCAGCATCATCTTGTTTCATCATTTAATAATATATATGTATAATATTGTTTTTTTCTCTTTGGTGAATTCTGTCAACTTTATTTAGAGTAAAACTGAACCTTTATATAGGCAATGTATCAATTACTGTTTGTAATATCTCCACCAAAAATAAAACTCACACAGTTTTACCTCGCAGTTGCTGTGGCTTCCACTTGCAGTTAGGGTGAATTATTAAACTGCTATGTTATACTTAGATGTAATCTGCCTAGCAACAATTAGCCTCCTCCAGAGGTTTAGAACTTATTCTAAATTTTTTTCTTCCAGAATCCTCAGCTTACCCTGTTAAGATTTCTGCTCTACAATAGAATATCACCAAACTGATGACACTTTCTTATAGAGAAGGAAAAAAAAAGGAAAATGAAAAATAAGAAAAAGGTGAGAAAATAAAACTAATACATTAAAAAAAAATGGGTATTAATACTAAGAAATAGAAATCTATACTAAAAACTAAAAGAATCTATTGTTAAAAAGAAGAAAACCTGCTATGAGCACCAAAATTTATGTAACTTGAATGAAAAAAATTTAGCAATTGTGTTTATTTCAAATAAACTCAATAAACATAATATTTATTACAGTCAGAAAGTATTATGATTACGGTTTTTCTAAGCATTTGGAATATTCCATTGTCTTTTAAAATGATTATAATACTCCAATTTATGCAATGGCTCGAAGTTTTTATTACTATCGAGCCATTTATTACTATTTGGATTCATTATATTTTCAATAATTTTTTTGTTGCGTTCTGGATTCAGAATTATAAAAATTTTTTGCCCAAATAAATAATCAGATTTATAGTCTTCCAGAAGAGCATCAAAAATAAAGTTGCAAGGTTTTCTGGTGCAATACATTTTCTTGATTAGTTTTTATAATTTTATTTCGATTTTTATTCTTTTTTTTTTCGTTTATTATTAGTGGAAGTTTGTTACGGCAATCGATTTATGTTTTTAGAATATTTTGTTTATCGAATTTTATGCTTTTCATTTTGAAAAATCGAAGAAAATAATTATCATGATCCTATCCTAATCATGAGGAATTGGCAATATCAAATGATTTTCGAAACTTTTGGTGGAGATTTTACCCTGGTCAAAAAATTCCAAAAAATACATAAACACGATTATATATGAAATCGAGCCACCAGGGCTTGCTTTATTGATAAGGTAGAATAAAAATAAAATACAGGATAAATATAAATTGTTTTTATTCAAACATTTTGACCCTTTTTCGGTCGTTTCAGTGATGATGGCTTGTATGAAATAGTTGATCTGATGTTTTTGATGAGTCTGATATAGTTGATCCGAATCCCGAATCATAATATTTGTGCACTGTGCATATTATTGAGGCTCTGAAGATTAACAGTGTATGAATAATTGAATTAGACGACCCAGATTCTAAAAGTAAAAGATGTAAGGGAATGGCTGATCAAA